ACGGAGATAGGTTCCTGATGACGATCGCTTGTGTTGTGATCGAAACGTCGTAGTTTTATGTTATTTTTTGTTATTTTCTTTGAACCTATCTACGTGACTTTACCGAAAGACCCAAAGAATGTGAATTCCTGCAGTCACGACAGCTTCAAGTCAAGATTCAATCTACACGACTCAGTGCGGTGCTGTAGCTCGGGGGAGAGACAGGACCGGGAACCGGGAGACGCCACGCCCCCATCACCCCCCCCCCCCCCACATCGCAGCCCCGCCCCCCTAGACCACCCCTCCCCTCGCCCCCCACCGGGCCCCCTCCCCCCATCTGTAAGAATCTCTCCACGTGCTGAGGATCGGTCAGCAGCAGGAACGGAGACCTGGGATCAACCTCCATCTGCAGCATTCTCTCTCCTTGCTTAGGATGGACTGGCAGAAGCGGAGACCTGTGAACATCTCCATCTGGAGGGACCGACACGTGAAGATGATGCGTCACTTAGGGGCCGTCCATAAATGACGTCACGCACCTGGGGGGGGGGGGGTCAGACATTTGTGACGATATGTGACGAGGGGGGGGGGGGGTTTGAGAAATGTGACGTCACATCAAAATGCGCAACTTTAAATAAATATAGACAACACGTTCTACTTAATTAAATAGACTTTTAATACATGTTTTCTCCAACATCAGAGTGCAGCGCCACATTAAATACGAACTACAATGGCAATAGTTTAAAGCGATTTGAAGCATGTTTTATATATTTTTTGGGGGGGGGCAGAGCTTTGTGACGTCATATTTGAGGAGAGGTCTGAATTTTTGTGACGCTATGTGACGAAGGGGGGGGTCAAAATCGTCCAAAATCGCGTGACGTCATTTATGGACGGCCCCTCCTTAATGACTGCACGAAAACCACTATCACGTCGCATTTTGGTGCCTGTCAGCTCTTGAGAAGTCAACGTTTACCCGTGTCACTGTAATGCTCCGAACGCCTCGACAGCAGGGCAAGTGAGGAGGTGGCGCCACCTATTGTGATCACGGCGACATTGCAGGGACTTCAGATATAATTCCGTGATGCCATCCTCCAGAGGGCATTCTCGGATGGCCTCTGTTTGAAATAGTTTATCATCTCGCGACAACGTGATGCCGACACTATAAATGGAATATACTTGTGGGGGTGCAAGGAAATATATTTCAGGTTTCCCTCTGACTATGCGGGTTCGGTTTGTGCGATTTCACGCTGTAAATGCGGCAAACCCATTTCTACCCAAAATTCGCTTTATGCGGTTTGAATTCACTCTGCATACGGCTATGTGGTCAGACGTGGGACAACATTGTACTGTGTGCGCTACTCGGCAGGCAGCTGTCTCACACACAGGTAGACAAATACAAAGATTCCCCGTATAGCCTCAACAGACTGTTGGGGCAAGTGCTGTTAGCGAGCAGTACTTATGAAGACCGGCACGGCACACGAGGGGGTGGGTGGCCAGCACCACGCCCGGCCTTCTTTATCGTTTTTTTTGGCGATGCTTACACACCGCACCAGGTACTCATTTGAGGCTGAGTCGACCTAGGGGAGGCCCAGGATCAGTTCAGATAATTGTCACTGGTTATGGCCGCGAGCGGGAATCGAATTTGGGCCACGCGGTTCGTAGCGCAGCGCGCTCCCCACTACACGACCACACAGCTACAGAGTTGTGTACTGTGTGTGTACTGTGTGTGTACTGTTTCCGTGTGTTATGTGTGTGTACTTTGTGCATGTGTACTGTGTGTGTGTGCTGTGTGTGTACTGTGTGTGTGCTGTGTGTGTACTGTGTGCGTGTGTACTGTGTGTGTATTGTTTCCGTGTGTTATGTGTGTGTACTTTGTGCATGTGTACTGTGTGTGTGTGCTCTGTGTACTTTGTGCATGTGTACTGTGTGTGTGCTGTGTGCGTGTGTACTGTGTGTGTGCTGTGTGTGTACTGTGTGCGTGTGTACTGTGTGTGTATTGTTTCCGTGTGTTATGTGTGTGTACTTTGTGCATGTGTACTGTGTGTGTGCTGTGTGTGTACTGTGTGCGTGTGTACTGTGTGTGTGCTGTGTGTGTACTGTGTGGTATGTGTGTGTGCTGTGTGTGTACTGTGTGTGTACTGTGTGTGTACTGTTTCCGTGTGTTATGTGTGTACTTTGTGCATGTGTACTGTGTGTGTGCTGTGTGTGTACTGTGTGCGTGTGTACTGTGTGTGTGCTGTGTGTGTACTGTGTGCGTGTGTACTGTGTGTGTGCTGTGTGTGTACTGTGTGTTATGTGTGTGTGCTGTGTGTGTACTGTGTGTGTGCTGTGTGCGCTACTCGGCAGGCAGTTGTCCCCCCGTGCGGTTTCGCTTTGTGCGCCCTTTTCTTTGAACGTATCTACCACTACTACCGCATAAAAGCGAGGGGACCCTGGATAGAAATACAATTATTATTATTTATAATAACTCGACTAGGGAACCTGTTGCTTTGCAAGCTGTCATTTCAATTCTCTTCTCACAGTCCTCCCGTACTCGGAGCAATAAACGTAATCAGCTTTTTAACGTAATAATAAAATGCCGGGATAAGATGTATCTTGAGCGTTTTATATTTATTATTCCCTAGGATTTAAATCATATTCTCGGGAAATAACTACATTAATAGAAGCGCACATTAAATATTAAAAAGTACATTAATAGAAGCGCACATTAAATAGTCATTAACAAGTACATTAATAGAAGCGCACATTAAATAGTGATATTAATAAGTACATTAATAGAAGCGCACGTTAAATAGTCATATTAACAAGTACATTAATAGAAGCGTACATTAAATATTCATATTAATAAGTACATTAATAGAAGCGCACATTAAATATTCATATGAATAAGTACATTTATAGAAGCGCACATTAAATATTCATATTAACAAGTACATTAATAGAAGCGCACATTAATTAGTCATATTAATAAGTACATTAATAGAAGCACACATTAAATAGTCATATTAACAAGTACATTCATAGAAGCGCACATTAAATATTCATATTAATAAGTACATTAATAGAAGCGCACATTAAGTAGTCGTATTAATAAGTACATTAATAGAAGCGCACATTAGTCATATTAACAAGTACATTAATAGAAGTGCGCATTAAATAGTGATATTAATAAGTACATTAATAGAAGCGCACATTAAATAGTCATATTAATAAGTACATTAATAGAAGAACACGTTAAATAGTCATATTAACAAGTACATTAATAGAAGCGCACATTAAATATTAATATTAATAAGTACATTAATAGAAGCGCACATTAAATATTCATATTAATAAGTACATTTATAGAAGCGCACATTAAATATTCATATTAACAAGTACATTAATAGAAGCGCACATTAATTAGTCATATTAATAAGTACATTAATAGAAGCACACATTAAATAGTCATATTAACAAGTACATTCATAGAAGCGCACATTAAATATTCATATTAATAAGTACATTAATAGAAGCGCACATTAAGTAGTCGTATTAATAAGTACATTAATAGAAGCGCACATTAGTCATATTAACAAGTACATTAATAGAAGTGCGCATTAAATAGTGATATTAATAAGTACATTAATAGAAGCGCACATTAAATAGTCATATGAATAAGTACATTAATAGAAGAACACGTTAAATAGTCATATTAACAAGTACATTAATAGAAGTGCACATTAAATATTAATATTAATAAGTACATTAATAGAAGCGCACATTAAATATTCATATTAATAAGTACATTTATAGAAGCGCACATTAAATATTCATATTAACAAGTACATTAATAGAAGCGCACATTAATTAGTCATATTAATAAGTACATTAATAGAAGCACACATTAAATAGTCATTAACAAGTACATTCATAGAAGCGCACATTATACATATTAACAAGTACATTAATAGAAGCGCGCATTAAATAGTCATATTAATAAGTACATTAATAGAAGCGCACGTTAAATAGTCATATTAATAAGTACATTCATAGAAGCGCACATTATACATATTAACAAGTACATTAATAGAAGCGCGCATTAAATAGTCATATTAATAAGTACATTAATAGAAGCGCACATTAAATAGTCATATTAATAAGTACATTAATAGAAGCGCACATTATACATATTGACAAGTACATTAATAGAAGCGCACATTAAATAGTCATATTAATGAGTACATTAATAGAAGCGCACATTATACATATTAACAAGTACATTAATAGAAGCGCACATTAAATAGTCGTATTAATAACTACATTAATAGAAGCGCACATTAAATATTAATTGCAAATAAACCGTGGCCAGTCTTCTCTATTCGTTACGACCAACCTATTCAGTGTCGCTATCCATTATTAAATGATTATGAAACATCTTCCGAATGTCTTCTCCCGCGCAATAAAATTTATTTCAACTCAAATATTGTATTACCTCTAATGTGTACACTTCATTGCTGATTTACGCTCTCAGTTGGCATTCAGTCAGCATATTCGGCAGAGCCAAAGATTCTTCCTCACCGGCCCATTCGTTTTATGGACCCAGCCCCAAAATGGCCCAATGAGATCGCACGGCAAATTCGGGCCCAGTGCGTCTTCAAAATGTCTGGGACGATTTTTAGTCCCAGTCCGTCACCGACGACGACGTCCACTGCCGATGCGGAGAGAAGAAATCGTCAACTCGTGCGTGAGGTGCTGGGTAGCTTGCCAACGCCACGGGACCACGAGGGATGGCGGCGGCTAGCGGAACGCCGTCATCCAGCAGTGGATTGATCACGGCTGATTATTCTTCCGTCGTTTAGACATAGCAACACTGACAAGGCCAGGGTGAGGTTTGATACCCATGCAGTCACGGACATCATCTGCCGCCGATTGAACTCTTAGAGTGAATGTCACGGCGTGACTGTTCCCGATGGCCGAGACGCAGACTCTGTGAGCCGACCCCACCGCCACCCCTCCCCGCCACCCCGTGGCGTACAGGAGCCATGGGCGACAAGCCTGTTCACGAGGAGGGAGCGGGCGGCGGTGACCCGACTCGGGAGCCCGTGGAGAGCGTGAACCCGTGGCGGCCCTCGCTGGAACAGGCGAACCCTGACTCGGACCAGGAGTCCAACTCGAGCTCGAGCTCAAAGGACAGGTAGAGGTGGTGGCGGCCGCCGGCCTTCCTCTCTCTTCGAAAGTGAATGACTACTCTTTGGTTATTTCGGTAAAGTCACGTAGAAAATCAAATCAAATAATAATAGAAAACGACGTTTCGGTTGCAACACAAGCAACCATCATCAGGTAAGAATGAATGATGAAACAGAGACACGGGAACAGCACAGGCAGACGCACGTGCAGAGAGAGACACAAAGACACACTGAGCGGGACACACACCTTTGTGCGTGTCTTTCTCTGCATGTGTGTCTGCCTGTGCTGTTCCCGTGTCTGTGTTTTAGCATTCATTCCTACCTGATGATGGTTGCTTGTGTTGCAACCGAAACGTCGTTTTCTATTATTATTTTGTTTTATTTTGTACGTGACTTTACCGAAAGAACCAAAGAGTAATTCCTGCAGTCACGAAAGCTTCGAATCGAGTTTCAATGACTACTGTTACAAGCTGACATCGTTTAGCGCTGGCCATCGCCTCCCATCCAGAGGCCCGCGTGCTAAACGCTGTGTCGGGGGCCGGGTCTGTGTCTCTGCGTGCGCTCAGCGATGTGGACGAGGGGCCGCTGTCGGTCCTCTGCTGGAACGTGGACGGCCTCATGAGGGACAAGTGGAGGGAGCGAGCACAGGCGGTCTACGACGTCGTCTCCAAGTGAGCATCGAGGCCGCGCAGGTTCCGCACGTGGGAGGAACGCGAGGGCAGCGCGCTGCGCGGACGCAGTGGGTGCCTTCGTGTCACAGAGAGACGCAGTGGGTGCCTTCGTGTCACAGAGAGACGCAGTGGGTGCCTTCGTGTCACAGAGACAGAGAGCGGACGCAGTGGGTGCCTTCGTGTCACAGAGAGACGCAGTGGGTGCCTTCGTGTCACAGAGAGACGCAGTGGGTGCCTTCGTGTTACAGAGAGACGCAGTGGGTGCCTTCGTGTCACAGAGAGACGCAGTGGGTGCCTTCATGTCACAGAGAGACGCAGTGGGTGCCTTCATGTCACAGAGAGACGCAGTGGGTGCCTTCGTGTCACAGAGAGACGCAGTGGGTGCCTTCGTGTCACAGAGAGACGCAGTGGGTGCCTTCGTGTTACAGAGACAGAGAGCGGACGCAGTGGGTGCCTTCGTGTCACAGAGACAGAGAGCGGACGCAGTGGGTGCCTTCGTGTCACAGAGAGAGAGAGCGGAGTGGAGGGAGGCACTCGTAGGACTCTCTGTGAGTCATTGCATCTGTCTGCGAGTTTGCGGGTCTCGGTACGGTGATAGTACAATTTGGATTTACATAGCATCACGCCACGGCCGCCTCTGTCTCCCTGGTGGCGATGTTTTACACGCCGAAAGCAGCCACTCATTTGAGGCTGAGTCGACCTAGGGGAAACCCAGGACCGGTTCAGATAATTGTCACTCGCTGGCGTTAGCGGTCATTAGCGGGAATCGAACTCGGGCAGCGCCGGGTTTGTCGCGCGGCGCGCTAACCACTGCGCCACCGCTCCACCCTTTACACACAAACTGTGCACGCGCGCGTACCAACTAGCACGTGCCGTGGCGCGCGTGGTGGGGCGCGTGCAGGAACTCCGTGGACGTGGTTTTTCTGCAAGAGGTTGTGATTTCCTTCTTCATCCACCTGTCCGGGTGTGCCAAGGAGGGCGACTACTCCATCATCCCTGGTGAAACCTTCGCACAGCCCCAATCTCATCTCATTGTGTGTACCTATGCACAGAGAGAGATCGCGCGCCTTCGCTCAATGTGCTTGACGACAGCTTACAAAGCGATGACAGAATGGAATGATTTAGTTGGCAGGGGCGGTACTGCAAGGTATTGAGGAATGAGTGACGGGAAAGATAAAGGGGTGCGTGCTTAGGGATTACGATTAGGCAACAGGGTAGGGACGGGAAGGGGTGGAGGGGCGAGGAGAGGGAAGAGAATGGACGATAGAGAAGAGGCGAGGCTTTGAGAGAGGAGCGGCAATCCTCTCGGTGGTCTGTCCTAGAGGCCGCATCGCACCGCGGGTGTTGCCCTACGTGGCGCACTGCCACCCTTGATGATGGGGCCGCCTCTTAATCTCTGCAGGGGACACCGAGGGCTACTTCACGGCCGTGATGCTGAAGAATTCTCGCGTGAGGTTCATCTCCCACGAGATCTTCCCCTTCCCCACTTCCACGATGATGCGGCACCTCCTGGCCGTCAAAGTAAGCGCAGCCACGGCACCGAGCACCCAGCCATAGCACCCAGCCATAGCACTCAGCCACAGCACCGAGTACCCAGCCACAGCACACGGCCACAGCACGCGTGTGCTGACGGGAGCCCCACGCTTGTGCGCAGGCGGAGGTGTCGGGCCGGGAGCTGTATCTGCTGACGTCGCATCTGGAGAGCATGGGGCCCAAGTCCGAGGAGCGCGTGCGGCAGCTGCGCCGCGTGCTACGCCGCATGGCGCTGGCGCCCGCCCACGCCGCCGTCATCTTCGGGGGCGACACCAACCTGAGGGACAAGGAGGCGAGTCCGTGGGGGGGGGAAGTGTGGGGGGTGGTGCGACGCTAGTCGAGGGCCCCTGTTGGTCTCCGCAGTGGGCGACCGGCTCTGGAACTATTTAACTATTTTTTTTATTCTACCGGGCAAGGGCCGCCGAGCTGTGTATCTCTTTTTCAGAAGGGACCTGGCCACAAACGAGAGCTCGACGAAGTGGCTCATCGTCGCGTGGAAATGCAGAGCAGCGAAATACTCTCAAACGCGTGACGTCGATTGTAAACGTGGAGGGAGAAAAATTCACGCGCCGAGCACCGGGATTTTGAGCCGCTCGTCCTCTCGATTCCGATCCGGCCGCCCGTGCGTGCGCCAGGTGCGGCGGATGGGCGGGCTGCCCGGTGGCGTGGCCGACGTCTGGGAGGAGCTGGGCTGCCCCGAGGAGGCGCGCTACACCTGGGACCTCTCCCTGAACGACAACCACCAGTTCGATCCTCCCGCCACGCCGCGCCTGCGCTTCGACCGCCTTCTCTTCCGCCGGGTCGAGCCCCGGCGCTCCTCCTCACCCGCCGCCGGCTCCGCCGCCGTGGCCGCGTTCGCGCCGCTGTCCCTGCGCTTCGTGGGCACCGAGCGGCTGCCGTGTGGGAAGTTCCCCAGCGACCACTGGGGGCTGCTGGCGCACTTTCAGTTGTGGGCGGAGCGGGACGAGGCGGGCCTCGACGCCACGGACGCCCTCCAGGCGTTGGACGTTTCAGGGGAATAGTGGCTCACGTGGAGGCCTTCACCTGGCTCCATCTGGACGACTCCACCTGGCTCCATGTGGAGGACTCCATGTGGAGGGCTCCACCTGGCTCCATGTGGAGGGCTCCACCTGGCTCCATGTGGAGGACTCCACCTGGCTCCATGTGGAGGGCTCCACCTGGCTCCATGTGGAGGGCTCCATGTGGAGGGCTCCACCTGGCTCCATGTGGAGGACTCCACCTGGCTCCATGTGGAGGGCTCCACCTGGCTCCATGTGGAGGACTCCACCTGGCTCCAAGTGGCGGACTCCACCTGGCTCCACGTGGAGGACTCCACCTGGCTCCATGTGGAGGACTCCACCTGGCTCCATGTGGAGGGCTCCACCTGGCTCCATGTGGAGGACTCCACCTGGCTCCAAGTGGCGGACTCCACCTGGCTCCACGTGGAGGACTCCATGTGGGGGGCTCTACCTGGCTCCATGTGGAGGCCTCCATGTGGAGGGCTCCACCTGGCTCCATGTGGAGGACTCCACCTGGCTCCATGTGGAGGCCTCCACCTGACTCCATGTGGAGGACTCCATGTGGGGGGCTCTACCTGGCGCCATGTGGAGGCCTCCATGTGGAGGGCTCCACCTGGCTCCATGTGGAGGCCTCCACCTGACTCCATGTGGAGGACTCCACCTGGCTCCACGTGCAGGGCACCACCTGGTGCCACGTGGAGGGCTCCACCTGGCTCCATGTGGAGGCCTCCACCTGGTGCCACGTGGAGGGCTCCACCTGGCTCCATGTGGAGACCTCCACCTGGCCCCACGTGGAGGGCTGCTTGAAACGAATCCCACAATACAGAATGCATAAATTATAAACTCGGTGACGATTGCCCGTGTCACAGTGCAGACCAAGCAGGTGCACGCGGTCGCTACGGCTGAAAGCAGGACATTTATTTGACTTGGAAGGACAACGTGACATAAATTGGGCGTGCGATTTTTCTAATCCGTAATCAAATAAAAGACGTGGAAGCCATTCCCTCGCCCGGTCGTGGCTATACTCTGATGTATGTAGTCTAGCAGCAGCAGCACCGGTGATATCACAACCGGGCCCGGCCTGCCAAAAGCCTTCACCGGCCCTCACCGCTTGAGCTCCCTGGTGAAGTATGCTCGAACACCCCCGCCCACCTCCCCAATGGAACTCTTCCAGATAACCATCGCTCGTCGCGGACCACAGCATGATTCCCGCGCGGCGGTGTGCGTCGACGTTCAGAGGGTTGACGGCGCGACTGGGAGGGCCCGGGACATTTGGGAATCGCCGCTCTATGTACGGTACGCGTGTCTCGAACTTCTTTTGCACCGTACGTGGCCGACCTTGCTAATCGGAGGTAGGGCGGGAGGGTGGAAGGACAACAAACTAAGGGCACACGGCTCTTCTTCAGCACCTAGGCCGTGTTGCGTTCCATCCCCGTCCCACACCAGCGTGCAACATCGCGAGTGAGAACAACAACCCATAAAAAACAACCTAAATAATGCACAACAGGGAGAGGATATCATCGAGTTCGTGTGCAGAAGCGACGCTGCGGCTGCTGCATCTGCAGCCGCCGCTGCCCCATCGCTCCCACGCCGTCGAATTCGTGGGCCGTGAAACAGACATTTCTTTTGGCGTTATCGATAATCGCAATGCAACAACAACAAAAGAGACGTTCGGTTTGCCAGGGAGAGAAAAGATTCCGTCCGTGTCCACGAGGGCGCGTTGTTGGTGACGCCGTGCGGCAACACAGGGGCCAAACTAAAACTCAATTATAAGAATCAATCAGTTTCAAGGACAATGCATATATTATCAGAGTGTGTTTTTTGTTTGCATTTTGGTACTGGCAAAGGAGGTCTAATGATGATGCTATTAAAATAAATTATTCTTAAATGTTACCAGGTAAGGCCCACTGAGCTATGTAGCTCTTTTTATCAGAAGCAACATGGCCACACAAATGATAACTCAACGGATTGGCTTATCATCACGTGGAAATATATAGCAGCCAAATACTCTAAACGCGTTACGTTGTTTCTAAATGTGGATGAACCCGGAGAAAAATACATGCGGCCACGGGGAGAGAGAAATGCAAACTCCAAATATACAGGTGTCGGGATCGAACCCACGACCTCCTGTATACCCAGTGAGGTAGTTAACATTTCTCACAATCGCGGAACAAGCAAAGGTCGCGTACGGTAAGGTCACGACCCTAGCGGAGCAGACGGCTGTCGGAGTTGGCACGACCTGGAACACTCGGCGGGAGAGTTCGCGATCCGCGTGGCCGGCATCGAAGGCGGATCTGGATCGAGAGGACGAACGGCTGACAGGAGAGCAAGTTGGTCGTGCTTTTGGAGAACTTAACAACGATGAGAGGCAACGTGCCGACCCAGTACCCCAAGGGGAGGGGGGGTGGAGGGGGGATTGGACAAGGGCGAGGGGCTAATTTAATTTCCTTGCAGCGGGGCGCATGCCCACCACGCTTAGGCCACTGCAGTGCAGGGGGTAAAAGTGCTCGTGTTGATAGACACAGCATAGAGATCCTTCGCCACCACACGAGCCGGTCTACACAGGGGACACGTGGAGGCCCCCCATTGGGTCCCGACGGCCGCGAAGGGCTCACCCTGCGAACGCGCGAACGTCGGACCAACGTTGGTTGACGTTGACCCTACGTTTGCGTGTTTTTCCCCGGGGCGCGGCTGCTTTAAACAAACCTTCCGGTGACGGGGAGACCGATTCCGCGCGGCCAAGGTTCAGCCCTTCAAGGGCACGGCGCGACGACCTGCAGAGGACGCAGGGGCGTGGGGGGAGGGGAGAAGGAGCGGAGAGGAGGGGAGATCGGGGTGGAGGCCCTGCGCTAGAAGGCGCGCACGTAGCTGATGGTCGGAGGGCGACCGAACGCGGGGCACGTGCCGGCGTGGATGAGGTACGCGGCCACCGCCACGCAGACCGCGGTGCCCGCGGCCACCGCGCCGACCACCGCGCCCACCACCCGCGCCGTGTCCACGGCCGCCGCCGGCGACGGCGGTGGAGGCGGCGGCGTGCCCTGGACCAACGTGGCCTGAGAAGAGGTGCCCGACGTGGCGGGGGTCCCAGATGGGGTGGACAACGGCGACGACGACTTCTTGGTGGTTGTTGCCGAGGTGGTGGAGGAGGTGGTGGTGGAGGTGGTGGAGTAGGAGGAGGAGGTGGTGGAGGCGGAGGACGTGGACGAGGACGTGGACGAGGACTTGGATCTCGGTGTGGTGGAGGAAGAGCCTGGGGATAACGAGAATCTGAATCTCTATCGTGGAGAAATCAGCCAACCATCAACACGCAAATCAACCTCCTCGGCTAACAAAACAAATAGGCAGGCGATTTATCTCCTCCTTGATATGTCTGCCTGTCCGCATTGTTTTTTATGCATCCCATCGGCCAGGTGGCCTTCTGGGAGCGCACAATCTTTAGAAGATCCACTGTGATGGTGATGTGGACACGCTTTACTGAACGCGGTGCAACACGTGATCACCTTACACGTCTACTACACACACACACACGTACTGTACATGCGTACACAAAGACAAAGATCACACGCACCCTGCACACACACCAGGCACGCGCACGCCTCCTACCGTCCAGGGTTTGCCCGGTGGTCGTAGTGGGGCCCGCCGCCTGCCTCGCCTGCGGGACGATCGGCCCCCGCGTCACCGTGCGCACCGCCGTCTCGGCTGCCGCCGCCGCCGCCCGGCGCACGCGGCCCCCCGGCACCGGCACGCAGCCGCGCTCGCACCGCGTGCCCGCCACGCCTTGCCGGCACAGCATCAGGTCGGCGTGCACGAAGACCTGCGGTGCACACACCGGTGGCGCGGGGAGAGCCGCGACGTGGGCGACTCGTGAATGGGGCGATGTGAATGTGTGAATGGGGGTCATGTTCGTGTGAATGGGGCGATGTGAATGTGTGAATGGGGGTCATGTTCGTGTGAATGGGGTGATATGGACGTATGAATGGGGCGATGTTAATGTGTGAATGGGACGATGTGAATGTGTGAATGGGGTGATGTGAATGTTTGAATGGGACGATGTGAATGTTTGAATGGGGCGATGTGAATGTGTGAATGGGGCGATGTGAATGTGTGAATGGGGCGATGTGAATGTGTGAATGGAGTGATGTGAATGTTTGAATGGGGCGATGTGAATGTGTGAATGGGGTGATGTGAATGTTTGAATGGGGCGATGTGAATGTGTGAATGGAGTGATGTGAATGTTTGAATGGGGCGATGTGAATGTTTGAATGGGGCGATGTGAATGTGTGAATGGAGCGATGTGAATGTGTGAATGGGGCGATGTTAATGTGTGAATGGGGTGATATGAATGTTTGAATGGGGCGATGTGAATGTGTGAAGGGGGCGATGTGAATGTGTGAATGGGGCGATGTTAATGGGGCGATGTGAATGTGTGAATGGGGCGATGTGAATGGGGCGATGTGAATGTGTGAATGGGGCGATGTGAATGTGTGAATGGGGCGATGTTAACGGGGCAGTGTGAATGGGGTGATATGAATGTGTGAATGGGGCGATGTTAACGGGGCAGTGTGAATAGGACGACGTGAAGGGGGCAGTGGTAGTCGCTGCTCTGACCGTCTTGTATCCGGTGAAGCTGAAGGCCTCGAAGCTGACTTGCGTCTTGGTGTGGCCGCTCGAGGCGTGCGTCTGCAGCGTCGAGTCCACGTCGCACCTGGCTCAGCAGCACACGCACAAAGACAAAGGTGCCCCTTAAAGTCTTTAACGCGCGCTGGGCCTGGCCACCCAGTGACCCCCACACCCCCTCCGGCGACGCCGTGCCCGCCCCTAACAGGCGCTCGCTAACAGCACTTGCCCCAAAAAGTTTGTTAGGGGCCGTCCATAAATGACGTCACGCGATTTTGGACGATTTTTGACCCCCCCCCCCCTCCTCGTCACACGACGTCACAAAAAGTCAGACCCCCTCCTCAAATATGACGTCACAAAGCTCTGACCCCCCCCCCCCCCCGAAAACAATAAAACATGCTTCAAATCGCTTTAAACTATTGTCATTGTAGTGCGTATTTAATGTGGCGCTGCACTCTGATGTTGTAGGAGAAAACATTTATTAAAAAGTCTATTTAACTAAGTAGAACGTGTTGTCTATATTTATTTAAAGTTTAAAGTTGTGCATTTTGATGTGACGTCACATTTATCAAACACCCCCCCCCCCCTCGTCACACATCGTCACAAATGTCTGACACCCCCCCCCCCCCCAGGTGCGTGACGTCATTTATGGCCGGCCCCTTAAAGGCTACACGAGGGGTGGGGAAGTGGGGGGGGGAGGGATCTTTATCTTTGTCCCACCCGCTGGCGATGATGTCTCGGCGCACGGCGTTGCCGGGGTCGGCGCTGGGCGTCGCGAACAGGTTGAGCAGCAGCAGCTGCACGTCGAGGGGGGTGAGCGCCGACGCGGCCAGGTAGAGGCGCTGGCGGTAGGCGGGCAGCAGCGGGAAGTCGGCGGCCGTGAAGGCGGAGGAGAAGGTGGCGTCGCGGTAGAGGTCGAGCGCGAAGGAGAAGGAGCCGAAGCCCTCCTCGCTCGCCGTCAGGTTGCCGAGGTCCGGCGTCATCACCACCGAGAGGCGCGCGCGCTTTGGGTAGCGGCAGCTGTGGTTGAGGGGGGGCGGGGCGGAAGAGGGGGGGTCACGGACGCGCCGGCAACGACCGAGGACCCACGGCCGAACTGTTCACAGCGCGGCGAACCGCGCGCGGTCGCGTCGCTTACGGCCGGTGGTGCAGGTGGACACTGCAGCAGCGTGGCTCCCAGCCGCGTGGCTCATGACTGCGTGGGTAACGACCGCGTGGCTCGTGACCACGTGGGTAACGACCGCGTGGCTCGTGACCACGTGGGTAACGACCGCGTGGCTCACGACCACGTGGGTAGCGACCGCGTGGCTCACGACCACGTGGGTAACGACCGCGTGGCTCACGACCACGTGGGTAGCGACCGCGTGGCTCACGACCACGTGGGTAACGACCGCGTGGCTCACGACCACGTGGGTAACGACCGCGTGGCTCACGACCACGTGGGTAACGACCGCGTGGCTCACGACCACGTGGGTAACGACCGCGTGGCTCACGACCACGTGGGTAACGACCGCGTGGCTCACGACCACGTGGCTCGTGAGTACGGGGCTCGCCAGGCCACTCACATCACGGTGATGGTCTCCACTTGGTTGCGGATGATCACCGCCTTCTTGGACAGGTTCCCGTAGACGATGGTCTGCTGCAGCGTGATCTCCGAGTCCGTCTCCTGCACGCCACGCAAGCACACACACACGTATATACACGCGCGCACATACACAACAGACACGCATGTACACAGATACAAGACAAACACAAAGTTCCCGTGTATAGCCTGTAACAAACTGTAGGGGCAAGTGTTGTTAGCGAGCACCTATGAAGACCGCCACGGCACGCGAGGGGGTGGGTGGCCAGCACCACGCCCGGCCGCCTTTGTCTTCCTAGTGACAATGTTTACACATCGCACCAGGTACTCATTTTGAGGCTGAGACGACCTAGGGGAGGCCCAGGACCTGTTCAGATAATCGTCACCGGTGTTGGCGGTGAGCGAGAATCGAACCCGTGTCGCCAGGTTCGTAGCGCAGCGGGGCGCTAACCGCTGCACCACCGCTCCCCACGCACACGGTGCGAGTCATTCACGGACTGTCGGGGCCAAGTGCTGCCCCAGTTCGCTACCCCAGCACGATGTCGATTCGGGGTGCCACGGGGTTTTTGCACAAAACGACTTCGTGGCCTACCCCCCCCAAAACAAGCATGTGCCATTGAGAAGGGTCACTGCCCGAACCGTCGCATTAAATATATCACTATTTTATTTTAAAGGCCACCACACACGCGCGGTGTTGTCGCTGTCGACGAGTGCGTCGACACTGGTTTGTCAAACGTGCTTGTGCATCGGCAACATTGTTACAGTTTCACTCAGCCAAAAACAATCCTGATCATTGCATCGCCTACAAGATTGCAACACCCCCTCTCCCCCGCGTACGTTGACGAGGGTGCCGCAGTCCCCCACGGCGATGGTGAAGGAGAAGAAGTCGGCGGACTCGGAGAGCGCGCAGAGCGGCTCCCCGGGCGTGGCGCGCGAGAGGCGCAGCTCGGAGGCGCGCGCCGCCAGCGACAGCGCGCGCGGGATGCGCGCGGTCATCGCCTCCGCGTCGCACTCCACCGTCACGCGGCCTGCGGGGGGGGGTGGGGGTGTGTGGGGGTGTGTGGGGGGTGTTTGGGGGGTGTGTGGGGGTGTGTGGGGGGTGTTTGGGGGGTGTGTGGGGGTGTGTGGGGGGTGTGTGGGGGGTGTTTGGGGGGTGTGTGGGGGTGTGTGGGGTGTGTGGGGGTGTGTGGGGGGTGTGTGGGGGGTGTTTGGGGGGTGTGTGGGGGGTGTGTGGGGGGTGTGTGGGGGGTGTTTGGTGGGTGTGTGGGGGGTGTGTGTGGGGGTGGGGATGGAGGTGGGGGTGGAGGTAGGGGTGGAGGTGGGGGTGGAGGTAGGCGTGGGGGTGGAGGTGGGGGTAGGGGTGGGGGTAAAGGTTAGTGCCGCTGCGCTACGAAACCCGACGGCCCCGGGTTTGGTTCATGTCGAGTACGGTTGGCTACGCACGGCGCGACAGAGGTTCAACGTTGAGTGAGACGACAGCGTCGTGGTTCTAGAGCGGCGATTTTCTGAACGGATTCTGGGCAATCGCCGTCGCCCTCCGGGCGACTTCAATAGCTGCACGCGGCTTCTGTTGAGCTCCGTGATTGTTTCTGAATGTATGGGGAGCGGCGGCGTAGCGGTTAGCGCTACGCTGCGCTACGAACCACGTGACGATTCCGGCTCACGGCCAACACCGGTGACGATCATCTGAACCGGTGCTGGGCCTCCCCTAGGTCGACTCAGCCTCAAATTAGTAGTTGGTGCGATGTGTAAACATCAGAACTGAGGACACAAAGACGGTGTTGGCCATTCACCCCCTCGTGTGCCGTGCCGGCCGTCATAAGTGTTACTTGCTAAAAGCGCTTTCCCCAAAAGTCTGTTCAGCCTATACGGGGGATCTTTGTCTTTGGGGTGAAGGAGGGGGGGGGGTCTTATGGGGAATAAGGGGCACGTGACTGCACAAGAAGAGGGACACGCAGGTAGGGACACACGGACACGTGGACACGTGGACACGACGCGTTGTGTCACGCGGGGGCGCCTTCTGGCGTGGCGTGGTATGATGGCTCGTTGAGTGAGGTGTGCTGTATCGGGCTGCGGCGCGGCGTTGTGACGCGGCGCTGTGACGTTGTGACGCGGCGGTGTGACGCGGCGCTGTGACGTTGTAACGTGGCGGTGTGACGTTGTGACGCAGCGGTGTGACGTTGTGACGCGGCGGTGTGACGCAGCGCTGTGACGTGACGCGGTCGTGTGACGCGGCGCTGTGACGTTGTGACGTGGCGGTGTGACGTTGTGACGCGGTGGTGTGACGCGGCGCTGTGACGTTGTGACGCGGCGCTGTGACGCGGCGTGACACCTTTAAAGCAGCCGTAGGCCCCGTCGCGCGCCTCGCAGACCTCCCCCCCCCCGCACTGCGCCGCCGACTCCCTCGTCAAGCCCCGCCCCACGCAGTCCACGCGGCGTGCACAGCCGGGGGCCAACCACCACGTGTCCACCTGCACCACCACCACCACCACACGTGTCAACACCACCACCACCACCACGTGTCCACCTGCACCACCACCACCACCACACGTGTCAACACCACCACCACGTGTCCACCTGCACCACCACCACACGTGTCAACACCACCACCACGTGTCCACCTGCACCACCACCACACGTGTCAACACCACCACCACGTGTCCACCTGCACCACCACCACACGTGTCAACACCACCACCACGTGTCCACCTGCACCACCACCACCACACGTGTCAACACCACCACCACGTGTCCACCTGCACCACCACCACCACACGTGTCAACACCACCACGTGTCCACCTGCACCACCACCACACGTGTCAACACCACCACCACGTGTCCACCTGCACCACCACCACACGTGTCAACACCACCACCACGTGTCCACCTGCACCACCACCACACGTGTCACCACCGACCACAACCACCAAACGTGTCACCACCGACCACAACCACCACACGTGTTACCACCGACCACAAACACCACACGTGTCACCACTGACCACTACCGCCACACGTGTCACCACCGACCACAACCACCACACGTGTCACCACCGACCACCACCGCCACACGTGTCACCACCGACCACCACCACACGTGTCACCACTGACCACAACCACCACACGTGTCACCACCGATCACAACCACCACACGTGTCACCACCGCTCCAGATTGCTCCGGTTCCCTCCTCCCCACGTGAACAACAAACACGACTCTTCGATAATCGAGCGGAAAGCACAGAGCTGTCACCCCATACGGTTTACCCGTAATCTTGTACAGGGAAATTGAGTTTTCAGGTCCATGCGGAGTACAGCCGTTTCAATACGGGCACATTTTTTGTATTTGTTTGTGTTTCTCCCTTGTGATGGGACTTTGTAGGATGAACGTTGAGATTTATAAGGGCACAGGGTGACTAATAAGGCCTGAATTGGTCTGTAATAAGATAGCCACTGATAAGGGATTGACAGGTATGAAAACATCTTACAAATAAACCCCTCGGTGTAGCAGCAGCTACGGCAGGACCCTCCTGACAGTGAGTCCTGCGACTCAGCAGCACGACTCTCCTGGATCAATACGGTCAAGATCACCTCTTCTCCACCGCCCATTCCCCTCCTCTTCCCTCGCCCCTCCACTCCTTCCCCGTCCCTCTCCCTACCCGTTCGCGGCGGTCAATCATTCCTCAACCCGTGCGGCACGCCCCTGCCACCGAAATCATTCTACTTTGTGTACACACCGTACAGTGTACGCTGTGTCGAGCGCCGCGAGTGAAGCAGTCGTTTTATAAAATGTCAATAAAAGACGAGGTGGAGAAATAAATGCCCGTCGTACCGCGTGGTAGAAGCCCTGCCACACGCAGCCGCACGTGTAGAGGGCCTGACAGGCGCCGTCCTGCAGCGCGTAGCCCTGGGGGCACTCGCAACCCTCCACGCACGGCTCAGAGCAGCCCGGCACCGCCTCCTCCTGGGGCTGCCAGCACGTGGAGGAGCACGACCTCAGGCAGGACTGGTACGAGGCTCGCTCGGGGCATAGAGGGGCCGCTGGGTCAAAAGGCACCGCACGCAACGCACCGAAGATTTAAGATGTCTCAGGTGGAACCTCGGCGGACTTTTGGGGGCCAAGTGCTGCTTGCGAGTAGCGCCTATGAAACCCGGTATGCCACGCGAGAGGGCACCATGGCCGGCCGCCTTTGTCTCTCGAGTGGCGATGTTTACACACCGCGCCGGGTACTCATTTGAGGCTGAGTCGACCTAGGGGAGGCCCCAAGACCGGTTCAGATAATCGTCACCGGTGTTGGCGGCCTTGAGCGGAACACACCCCGTACACAAGCACGTCATCATCAGCACCTCCAATTATCACCGTTGGCTATGTATGGTGCAAACGAAGTTCAACAGCAGTGGCAACGGTATCAGGGATTTCATTTTCACTGAATATTTTATGTGTGGTTGGTAAACAGGAGTAGTTTAGTGACTCGTAGTCGCAGACATGGCGAGAGTGGTATGGTTATTATACTGGATGTGGTGTGCCGGGTGAGTACGTATTTTCCGGGTTGTGTACCCGGATAGACTCGGCTAACATTTAATCCCGGCTACCATATGCAGCAGCAACAGATGTATCATCAGCAGCAGCATTATAGTTATCAGCATTACACACCAGCAGCAGCAGCAGGTTCATCAACATGCCCCCACTGGGGCAGCTGGCAACAACAGCAAGGTGAGAGAGAGAGAGGACACAGCGGGGAGATGAAGGGTAGGGTGAGAAAGAGACGGAAGAGCACATTGGGGATGATGATGAAGACAATGACAAGAACAATGATGATGATGATGGCGATAATTGGTTGTAGAAGGAGGTGATGATGATGACCACGATGACGACGTTGATAATTACGACCATAATAATGATAATGACCATGATGACGACGACGACGATGACGACAATGATCAAAATTGCGATAATGATGATCATGATCATAATTGCGATCATAACGATGATAATGACCATGATGATGAAGTGGGCAGGGGGGGGTGGGGGTCCTCACGGCATCCCGCGGGTCCCCTCCACGCCGTGCTGGGGGTGCCCCCGGCTCGCGCGCACGAGTCGTGGTAGTTGGCCAGGGCCCGGCAGAGCGTGGCCTGGGTGAGGCCGGACACGGCCACGTCCCACACGCAGGCGGCGTGCGGCGCCTCGGGGTCCACCGCGGAGTGGCAGGGGGACAGGTCCCCGCCGGTGGCCACCAGGGGCGCGCATAGACGCGCCGCCTCGCTCTGCAGCACGGCGCTCGGCTGCGGCGCCCAGCCATCGTCATCGGAGCACCTAAGCACACGGGGGTCACACGGGGCGTCACGCGAGGTCACACGGGGGTCACACGGGGCGTCACGCGAGGTCACACGGGGGTCACACGGGGCGTCAGCGGGGTGGGTCGAGTCTGTTTTGTTAGCTGGCTTGTGCACCGCTACCAACGCAGCAGCATCACCAACGTCGTTTTTTTTGGTACATAAACCATACCCCCCCCCCACCGCAGTCCCCCCCCCCCCCACCTCTGATAGGAGACCCCGAAAATTGGAGGCCCAGGACCGGTTCGGATAATCGTCACGGGTGTTGGTGACCGCGAGCAGGGAATCGAACCGGGGTCGCCGGTTGCGCAGCGCGGCGCACTCCGAGCGCTGTGCGCGCCGCTCCCCGCGACGCTCACCCGGCGGGTCGCGCCGCGCGCTTCCAGCTGTTGCCGACGTCGGCGCTCGAGTTCCTCGGCACCCCGTCGGGCCCCGCCGCGTCGTCCCCGGGGTCCCCGTTGAAGTCGCCGCAGAGGCCGCACACGGTCCCGGCCACGGTGGGGTCGAGCGACAGCCACACGGAGCGCCCCCCGTCCCAGCGCACCCACAGCCCCGCCTCGGCCAGGCCCATCAGCACGAAGGAGCCGCTCGCCCGAAGCCAGACCCGCGGGGAGGGGCGGGCCGGTAGCGACACGCGAACACCGTCCACCTGCACGCTCGACCACGTGTGGCGGGATGTTAACTACCTCGCCTGGTATGCGGGAGCCATAGGTTCGATACCGATCCTGACGCCTGCTGTGTATTTGGAGTTTGCAGTGTCTCTCTTATCATCATCACGGTGGCTAGGAGATGTTAACTACCTCGCCTGGTATGCAGGAGGTCGTGGGTTCGATCTCGACCCTGACACCTGCTTGTCTCTTTCCCCGTCGTGGCGTGGATTTTTATCCGGGTCCTCCGGTTTTTCACTCAGCATTTAGAATCAACGTCACGCGTTCAGAGTATTTGGCTGCTATGAATTTACACGCGATGATAAGCCACGTCGTTGAGCTATCATTTGTGGCCAGGTCGCTTCTAAGAAAGAGCTACATCGCCCAGTGGGCCTTACCTGGTAAGATAAAAAAAAAATTGTTTAGTTTAAGGAGGGCAGTTGCCCGAAACATCGACGATTTAATTAATATACCTGAGGCAGTGCTCAATGTAAGTCGAAGCCGTTCCGCGATATCTCGCCTATTGCCATCATCGGAGCGTACGGCCATAAGGGTGCATTCATATAGCATTGTTATTACGGATGGACTCACGTTGTACTCCATCGGTCAGAGCTGTCCCTGGGCTATGGATAATCGGGGCGACAGCCCCGGGCCCCGCGCTTTGGGGAGCCTAGGGGAGCCCACACGGTGTGAGTTGTCCCGGGCCCTACACCCCCCCCCCACCCCATGGACGTCCCTGCTAGTGGTAGTAGTGCCTTACGCCAATAATCGCATGCATTTATGTCATTGAGTAATGTTTTGCGTTTTCAAATCGACCAGGTCCGATCATTCTGATGAGTTCCAGAGTTTAGCAGCATGGGATGAGGAGGGAGAGGAGGGCAATTGAGAGTTGGGAATGAGGAGGGGGGAGATGGGATGCAGAAGTGGGAAGAGGATGGAGATGGGATGGAGGAGGAGAGGGAGGAGGGAGATGGGATGGAGGAGTGGGACAAGGAGGGAGATGGGATGGAGGAGGAGGGAGATGGGATGGAGGGGTGGGACAAGGAGGGAGATGGGATGGAGGAGGAGGGAGATGGGATGGAGGGGTGGGACAAGGAGGGAGATGGGATGGAGGAGGAGGGAGATGGGATGGAGGGGTGGGACAAGGAGGGAGATGGGATGGAGGAGGAGGGAGATGGGATGGAGGGGTGGGACAAGGAGGGAGATGGGATGGAGGAGGAGGGAGATGGGATGGAGGGGTGGGACTAGGAGATGGGATGGAGGAGGAGGGAGATGGGATGGAGGAAGTTGTGGGATGAGCGTCCAGTGATGGCGGTACCTGCGCGGCCCCATCGCGCCCCAGTGACACGGTGAGGTTGTGGAGGCGCACGGAGACCCCGGGGCTGTTGGGGTCCCCGAGGGAGACGATCACCTCCCAGGGGGGCGCGGCAACGGGGGTGCCCCCCACGCAGGGGGCCACCAGGGTGTAGGTGCATGTTCCGTGGAAGAGCATCGCGCGCCCGTCAAACGTGACCACGTGCGGGGCGTTCAGCCAGCACGAGCCTGTGTGCACGTGTGTGTGTGTTGGGGGGGAGAAATTATCTGTGTGTGGGGGGATGTGCGTGCAAGTGTGTGTGGGTGGGGAGGTGTGTCCACGTGTGGGGGGATGTGTGTCCACGTGTGTGTGGGGGTGCACGTGTGTGTGGGGAGGGATGTGTGTGTGTGTGTGGAGGTGTGTCCACGTGTGTGTGTGGGGTGCACGTGTGTGTGGGGAAGCGCAGCGCGCTAACCCGAGTTCGATTCCTGCTCACGGCATACACCAGTGACGATTATCTGAATCGGTCCTGGGCCTCCCCTAGATCGACTCAGCCTTAAATGAGTACCTGGTATCTGGTGCGGTGTGTAAACATCGCCACTGGTGCTGGCCACCCACCCCCTCGTGTGCCGTTCTGGCCTTCATAGGTGCTGCTAGCTAACACAGCACTTGCCCCAACAGTCTGTTAAGGCAATACGGGGGATCTTTGTTTATATTTTTGCACGTGTGTGGGGGAATGTGTGAAAATGTGTTTGTGTGGTAATTACATTTGCAAATATTACATTGCTAATGTTTCCTGGCGATGGGTGAGTCGTTACCTAACAGCAGCTATTGAGCAATAGGCAAACCCTTCAAAGATCAACAAATAAACACACTGGAGCAGCACATGTGAAGAAGGGTCATTGCTCGAAACGTCACGCATTATACATATCTGTCCTTGTTAAGGCCGCGGTGTTGACAACGCAGCAGCATCACCAGATACTATGTTTTTATACATCCAAAGACAAAGAACCCCCGTATAGCCTTAACAGACTACACTATTGTGGCAAGAGCTGTCAGCGAGCACCTATGAAGGCCGGCACGGCACACGAGGAGGTGAGCAGCCAGCATCACGCCCGACCGCCTTTGTCTCCCGAGCGGTAATGTTTACACACCGCATTAGGTACTCATTTGAGGCTGAGTCGGCCTAGAGGAGGCCCATGACAGGTTTGGATAATCGTCACTGGCGTTGGCCGTGAGGAGGAATCGAACTCGAGTCGCCGGGTTCGTAACGCAGCGCGCTAGCCACTGCGCTACCGCTCCCCCATGCATTCGTCATCGGTCAAGGAGACCAACAAACGTCACGCGCAGCTATTGAAGTCGCCTGCAGGAGGAACACAAATGGACAACAACAAAAAACCAAAGATGTTTGCTTGGGGAAAATATTTGAAGGCCGAACTGGTCCCCAAATTTATGAGCCGCTCTAACCACTCAGCCATCCAATGTGCAAAAAACAAAGACAAAGATCCCCCGTATACCCTTATCAGACTGTTGGGGCAAGTGTTGTTAGCGAGTAGCACCTACGAAGGCCGGCACCTCACACGAGGGGGTGGATGGCTGGCACCACGCCCGAGCGCCTTTGTCTCCCCAGTGGCGATGTTTACTACACACCGCGCCAGATTCTCATTTTGAGAAGTAAACATCGCAGCTCTGATGACTCCGCACTGATTTCCACGCTAATTTGCATTGCGGCGTGCGACGATTTCCTCAGCGGGCAGCAGTCACGGGATTGTTCCAACAAGGGTCGAGCAACCCCCCTCACAACACCAGCCCGACCACGAACCCTACCACTTGCCAGCCTTGGCCAAAGCCTCAACTCCAGTAGCCCTGTCACTGGCCCTATCACTCACACGGAGTTTTCAGTCGCGATAACCATACCGTAAACGCAAGCCCGGATTCTAACACTAAGCATACTACCAGCCCATAATCATAACATTACTCTTAACCCCAACACGAGCCCAAAGTTCCGAATCGAATACCAGCCCCAGCTACTACGTAACAATCACGAACCCTGATCCTAACCATAACCCAAGTCGTAATTCTCTCCCTCTAGGACCCCCTCCCCCCACCGGCCCCCCAGTAAGAATGAGCACCGCAGGGCGCTGCTACTCACGCTGGGAAGCGCCCTGCACGGGTCCCAGGTCCCCACGAAGCTGCCCCCCTCCTCGCACCACCAGGACCCCCACGATCGCGAGGAGTAGGGCCCCCCCACGCCTCATCATCATCGTCGTCGTCGTTATCGTCCTCATCACCGGCATCAACCCGGAGGAAACATCGACAAAGAGCGCTGCGCAGGACACGCAGACAGCGGCAGCAGCGCAGGGGCCGCCCCCCGCATTCCACCAGGGCGCGTTGTTGTCACACCACGCATGCCGGGAGTAGCTGCGCCACTCCCCGCTCACCTCACCCGGCAATCCTCGTCACGTTAACCACCTCACCGATACCGCCGCCGTCAGCACACGGGGGGCGCGCCCGGCCCCGCGGGGAATCCCCGCGCTTGTCCTGCGGGGGGGGGGGGGGGGCTGGGGAGCGGTGGTGCAGCGGTTAGCGCCACGCTGCGCTACGAACCGCGGGCGACGCGAGTTCGATGCCCCGTTCGCAGCCCACGGACACCGGTGACGATTTTCTGAACCGGTCCTGAGCCTCCCCTAGGTCGACTCAGCATCAAATGAGTAGTACCTGGTGCGGTGTGCAGCAAACATCGCGACTGGGGAGACAAAGGCGGCCGGGCGTGGTGCTGGCCACCCCGTGTGCCGTGCCGGCTTTCATAGCTCACAGCACTTGCCCCTACAGCCTGCTCCAGGCTATAAGGGGGGTGTTGGTCTTCATTGGTGGGGTGCGGTTGGGGGGTGCGGTGGGGGGGTGCGGTGGGGGGGGTGCGGTGGGGGGGTGCGGTGGGGGGGGCGGTGGGGGTGTGCGTCTCACGTCTCACGTCAACGACAGACCGGTCTGTCCGGTGCGCTAGTAGACCGAGTTCAACTCTACGTACAGCTCCTCACTCACCTGTACTCACAATCCCCTCACTCACCTGTACTCACAATCCCCTCACTCACCTGTACTCACAATCCCCTCACTCACCTGTACTCACAATCCCCTCACTTACCTGTACTCACAATCCCCTCACTCACCTGTACTCACAATCCCCTCACCTGTACTCACAATCCCCTTACTCACCTGTACTCACAATCCGCTCACTCACCTGTACTCACAATCCCCTTACTCCCCTGTACTCACAATCCCCTCACTAACCTGTATTCACAATCCCCTCATTCCCCTGTACTCACAATCCCCTCACTCACCTGTACTCACAATCCCCACGCCTGTACTCACAATCCCCTCTCTCACCTGTACTCACAATCCCCTCACTCACCTGTACTCACAATCGCCTCACTCACCTGTACTCACAATTCCCTCACTCACCTGTACTCACAATCCCCTCACTCACCTGTACTCACAATCCCCTCACCTGTACTCATAATCCCCTCACTCACCTGTGCTCACAATCCCCTCAATCACCTGTACTCACAATCCCCTCACTCACCTGTACTGACAATCCCCTCACCTGTACTCACAATCCCCCTCACTCACCTGTACTCACAATCCCCTCACTCACCTCTACTCACAATCCCCTCACTCACCTGTACTAACAATCCCTCACCTGTACTCACAATCCCCCTCACTCACCTGTACTCACAATCCCCTCACTCACCTGTACTCACAATCCCCTCACTCACCTGTACTCACAATCCCACTCACTCACCCTACTCACAATCCCCCCTGTACTCACAATCCCCTCACTCACCTGTATTCAGAATCCCCTCACTCACCTGCACTCACAATCCCCCCTGTACTCACAATCCCCTCACTCACCTGTACTCACAATCCCCTCACTCACCTGTACTCACAATCCCCTCACTCACTTGTACTCACAATCTCCCCCACTCACCTGTACTCACAATCCCCTCACTCACCTGTACTCACAATCCGCTCACTCACCTGTACTGAAAATCCCCTCACCTGTACTCACAATCCCCTCACTCACCTCTACTCACAATCCCCTCACTCACCTGTACTCACAGTCCCTCACCTGTACTCACAATCCCCCTCACTCACCTGTACTCACAATCCCCTCACTCACCTGTACTCAAAATCCCCTCACTCACCTGTACTCACAATCCCCTCACCTGTACTCACAATCCCCTCACTCATCTGTACTCACAATCCCCTCACTCACCTATACTTACAATCCCCTCACTTACCTGTACTCACAATCTCCTCACTCACTTGTATACACAATCCCCTCACTCAATTGTACTCACAATCCCCTCACCTGTACTCACAATCCCATTCACTCACCTGTGCTCACAATCCCCTCACTCACCTGTACTCACAATCCCCTCGCCTGTACTCACAATCCCCTCACTCACCTGTACTCACAATCCCCTCGCCTGTACTCACAATCCACTCACTCACCTGTACTCACAATCCCCCTCACTCACCTGTACTCACAATACCCCTCACTCACCTGTACTCAGAATCCCCTCACTCACCTGTACTCACAATCCCCTCACTCCCCTGTACTCACAAACCCCCTCACTCCCCTGTACTCACAAACCCCCTCACTCACCTGAACTCACAATCCCCTCACTCACCTGTACTCACAATACCCCTCACTCACCTGTACTCAGAATCCCCTCACTCACCTGTACTCACAATCCCCTCACTCCCCTGTACTCACAAACCCCCTCACTCACCTGAACTCACAATCCCCTCACTCACCTGTACTCACAATCCCCTCACTTACCTGTACTCACAATCCCCTCACTCACCTGTACTCACAATCCCATCACTCACACGTACTCACAATCCCACTCACTCACCTGTACCCACAATCTCCTCACTCACCTGTACTCACAATCCCCTCACCTGTACTCACAATCCCATCACTCACCTGTACTCACAATCCCCCTTACTCACCTGTACTCACAATCCCCTCACTCACCTGTACTCACAATCCCGGAACCTGTACTCACAATCCCTCACGTGTACTCTCAATCCCCCTCACTCACTTGTACTCACAATCCCGCTCACTCACCTGTACTCACAAACCCCTCAGTCACTTGTACTCACAATCCCCTCACCTGTACTCACAATCCCACTCACTCACCTGTGCTCACAATCCCCTCACTCAACTGTACTCACAATGCCTCCCACTCACCTGTACTCACAATCCCCTCACTCACCTGTACTCACAATCTCCTCACTCACCTGTACTCACAATCCCCTTACTCACCTGTACTCACAATCCACTCACTCACCTGTACTCACAATCCCCTCACTCACCTGTACTCACAATCCCACTCACTCACCTGAACTCACAATCCCCTCACTCACCTGTACTCACAATCCCCTCACTCACCTGCTCTGACAATCCCCTCATCTGTACTCACAATCCCCCTCACTCACCTGTACTCACAATCCCTTCACTCACCTGTACTCACAAATCCCTCACTCACCTGTACTCACAATCCCCTCACTCACCTGTACTCACAATTGCCTCGACTGTACTCACAATCCCCTTACTCACCTGTACTCACAATCCACTCACTCACCTGTACTCACAATCCCCCTCACTCACCTGTACTCACAATACCCCTCACTCACCTGTACTCAGAATCCCCTCACTCACCTGTACTCACAATCCCCTCACTCCCCTGTACTCACAAACCCCCTCACTCACCTGAACTCACAATCCCCTCACTCACCTGTACTCACAATCCCCTCACTTACCTGTACTCACAATCCCCTCACTCACCTGTACTCACAATTCCATCACTCACACGTACTCACAATCCCACTCACTCACCTGTACCCACAATCTCCTCACTCACCTGTACTCACAATCCCCTCACCTGTACTCACAATCCCATCACTCACCTGTACTCACAATCCCCCTTACTCACCTGTACTCACAATCCCCTCACTCACCTGTACTCACAATCCCGGAACCTGTACTCACAATCCCTCACGTGTACTCTCAATCCCCCTCACTCACCTGTACTCACAATCCCGCTCACTCACCTGTACTCACAAACCCCTCAGTCACCTGTACTCACAATCCCCTCACCTGTACTCACAATCCCACTCACTCACCTGTGCTCACAATCCCCTCACTCAACTGTACTCACAATGCCTCCCACTCACCTGTACTCACAATCCCCTCACTCACCTGTACTCACAATTCCCTCAATCACATGTACTCACAATCCCACTCACTCACGTGTACTCACAATCCCCTCACTCCCCTGTACTCACAATCTCCTCGCCTGTACTCACAATCCCCTCTTTCACCTGTACTCACAATCCCCTCACTCACCTGTACTCACAATCGCCTCACTCACCTGTACTCACAATCCCCTCACTCATCTGTACTCACAATCCCCTCACTCACCTATACTTACAATCCCCTCACTTACCTGTACTCACAATCTCCTCACTCACTTGTACACACAATCCCCTCACTCAATTGTACTCACAATCGCCTCACTCACCTGTACTCACAATCCCCTCACTCACCTGTACTCACAATCCTCTCACTCACCTGTACTCACAATCCCCTCACCTGTACTCACAATCCCTCACCTGTACTTACAATCCACTCACTGACCTGTACTCACAATCCCCTCACTCACCTGTATTCACAATCCCCTCACTCACCTGTACTCACAATCCCCTCACCTGTACTCACAATCCCCTCACTCACCTGTATTCACAATCCCCTCACTCACCTGTACTCACAATCCCCCCCCCCCCACTCACCTGTACTTACAATCCCCTCACTCACCTGTACTCACAATCCCCCTCACTCACCTGTACTCACAATCCCCTCACTCACCTGTACTCACAATCCCTCACCTGTACTTACAATCCACTCACTGACCTGTACTCACAATCCCCTCACTCACCTGTACTCACAATCCCCTCAATCACCTGTACTCACAATCCCACTCACTCACCTGTGCTCACAATCCCCTCAATCACCTGTACTCACAATCCTGTCACTAACCTGTACTCACAATCCCCTCGCCTGTACTCACAATCCCCTCACTCACCTGTACTCACAATCCCCTCGCCTGTACTCACAATCCCCTCACTCACCTGTACTCACAATCCCCTCACTCACCTGTACTCACAATCCCACTCACTCACCCTACTCACAATCCCCTCGCCTGTACTCACAATCCCCTCACTCACCTGTACTCACAATCCCCTCACTCACTTGTACTCACAATCTCCCCCACTCACCTGTACTCACAATCCCCTCACTCACCTGTACTCACAATCCGCTCACTCACCTGTACTGACAATCCCTTCACCTGTACTCACAATCCCCCTCACTCACCTGTACTCACAATCCCCTCACTCACCTCTACTCACAATCCCCTCACTCACCTTTACTCACAGTCCCTCACCTGTACTCACAATCCCCCTCACTCACC